TTTAGGGTCTTAGGTTTTAGGGCTTAGGGTTTAGGATTTTGGGTTTGAGGGTTTAAGGCTTTCGGGGTTTAGGGCTTTAGGGTTCGAGGCTTGAGGGCAATAAATAATTAGGGCTTAGGGTTCAGGGATCTACCATTATGCCCTAAACCCTAAACCCTAAACCCTAAACCCTAAACCCTAAACCCCAAAAGACCGTCCTTCTTATCGTTTTGGGGGAGCTCATTCCTTCTTGGTAAGTTTATATGTGGACCCTCTAGGTATTCACTACAAGCCCCGAGAAACAGCCGTTTGAAACCCTGCAGAAGCTCGAAACAACTCAATCCTGAACCCTTACCCCTATGCCCTCCCTAAGTATGCCCCATAGGTCATAGCAAAGACCAAAAGCTATACGGGGGGGCCTTAAACGCGCTGTTGCTGAGACCGCGGCGCCCAGGCCTCGTAGAGATCACCAACCTTCGGGACAGGTCAAATTTCTGCGGGCTTTGTGAAGGTTCTGAGGCCGAAGGTTGATAATCAGTTTTTTTTTTTAAAGTGTAGTAGCCCTTCTTTCTCCTGTCCAGGCTTGCTCCATTGGAGCTTACACTGTGGATCGGCACTCGCTGTGCCAAAACACCAAACTGATAATCAGTTTAGGGTTTAGGGTTTATGGGTTTAGGGATTAGGGTTTAAAGATTACGGTGTTTAGGGATTAGGGTTTAGGGTTTAGGATAGTATACAACCTTAACCCCTAAAGCCCCGATATTGAACCCTCAACCTCAACCCGACGCCACTTCGGCAGCCTTCGTCAAGCCTGGGGCGAAAGCCTCATGCTTTCTTGAGGATTTGGGTGGCGGCCACCCACCCAAAGCCCTATAAGCCCTAAACGCAAAACCCTAAGCCCAAAACCCTAAACGGCCCTAGGCCCTAAACCCTAGACCCTAACCCCAAACCCCAAACGGCCCCAGACCCTAGTGGTCTACAGAGTGCAGGGGCTTTGGGTTGCGGTTGAAGGGTCGCGTCTATCTATTGGATCCACCTGCTCGGTGCTCCGGTCCGTTTTTGTTCGTTCAGGTTTAGGGTTGAGAGTTTAGGGTTTAAGGCTTAAGGATTTAGGGTTTAAGGTTTAGGGTTTAAGGTTTAGGGTTTTAGGTTTAGGGTTTAAGGGTTTAGGGCTTCAGGTTCAGAGTTGAGGCTTTAGGGTTGAATCTTGCGAGTTACCTTCAGGATGAGGGCGCCTCGTAGGTAGAGGGCATAGCTGGGGTATGACGCGAAATCCAGAAACTCCAGACACCTTCACTAAGGAGCATACTTTGACTTACAGGGGACTCCCTGTTATTCTAACGTGAGATACATTTCTTGAGTACGGGAAGCAGTGCCAAATTCAACAAGGAGCAAGGGAAAACTTAATGACTTAACATGGCCCCGCGCCCTAACTCCACTTTAAGGAACTTTGCAAACTACGCTTAAGATATATGGAGCTCTGCGTAACTGAGGAACGCCTCAACTCCAATCTAAGGAATGATACTTCGTTACAACCTTTAAGTGGCGCTAAACTTGAACATGATGTTTGGGTCCTAGGTACCTAAGCGGTTTAGGGTTTAGGGTTTAGGGGATACTTTCCAATCATAAAAGTAATTCCTATTATAAGAACCCTACGTTCCACTATGTAGGCACAAAGGATCCTTTGGGTTTGTGGGACCAAAGACTTCCTGTGGCCGCCTGGTAGCAGGTCTCCACCTGAGCCGTGTAGAACTGCGAGGCATCCCTGACAAGAGGCGAGGGCTCGGATTTCAGGGCTTAGGGTTTGGGGTGTAAGGTTTGGGTTTTTTTTTTTAAAATGCACTAGCCCTTTCTCCCGCAGAGGTCGATTGGCTCACTCCTAAGAGCGTGCACTCCACTCAAAGAAGACATACAGCAGACATCACTTGAAGCAGTGTCTC